CCGTATATATAGCAGTTTCCATTTCATTTTCCATTTTCTTTTCCATTTGATTCTCCATTATTAAGGGGGATACTAGGAGTTTAGACAGTGGCTCAAATAAACACTTCTAGAGCCACTCACCATGGCAACAGAGCACAGAGACCTTTCAGGCCGTGGTGGCTGCTGTGGAAGGTCATGGTGGGGAGTCCAAGGCCATTTGGGTAGTTCCCAAAATTANNTAGGGTTACCCTTTTGGGGGTCCCCATAATAAGGACTATAGTATTTTGGGGGTCTATATTGGGGTCCCCTTATTTTGGGAAACTACCATGTCCGAAACTAGAAGCATCACGATGACTTGGGTTTTCGATGGCGTGTCTATTGATACCAGTATCATGGTGATCGTAACATACAAGCATTGCCGCATACACAGCTATCTGCGAAGCTGCTGCTGTTGCGGAATGTTTTGTCTCCAAGGAAACTGCTATTGAAGCTTCGGCAAGCCTGCAGACCCTTTTCGCGGTGTTTCTCAACTAATGGGTCCTTGTCGGGCAGATGTGGTTCCTTGTCCTATTGCGCAGGACACCTGGACGTGCTGTTGTGGTGGCAGTCGTCAGGAGGAGCTCGCTGGATGTGGGAGTTTCTCAACAGAATCCAGCAAAAGTCCTGGTTTGGATACCTCGAAACCCCTTTGGCATCCCTCTACATCCATTCCTGTTCTGAGAAACATGTCCTCAATATAGCCCCTGTAATATAGTCTAAAAGATCCCTTATCTACCCTTAGATATTCCCAATATATTCCCAATATATCCCCTATATATTCCCTATATATCCTCTATATTTTCCCTATACATTCCCGACATATTCCCGATATATTCCCTATACATCCCCTATCATTTAAGTGGTGCACATGTCAGGAGGCAGAAGCTGAAAGCTCTTCATCTGAAGGCCACAGCTCTGCCGGGGAAAGCTGGGGTTGAGGGTCTAGGGCAGTTAGGGTTTGGTGGGAGGCGGATTATATTTTCATTGGTTGGTAGTGAGGAATGAAGGAATGGAACAGAACATGGGAACTACTCTTTAGGGTCTGGGGCTTAGGGTTTAGGGTAGGGCTATGAGAATGAAAAAGACAACGGAAACCCATTATGCTAGGGTTTAGAGACTAGGGTTACTACAGGGATTCATGTTCCATTCCCTGCTAACAAGCCGTAGGTAGCGACCTCACCCCACCTCACCCCAAATGGTAGTTTACATGAAGCATGAGAGCAGCTTGGGTTGGTTTGAAGCGTTGGAATTTCAACTTGAAAGGGCATCGTCTGAGTGGTCTTTCATTTTGGGATCGTCATCCTCGTCTCAGTTGTAGCCTCTTACAAGAACAATTTACAAGTTTACTTCGTTCAAACACCAAAGAAACGCTGGACATCTGCTTTTTGCAGGAGACCCTTCTGAAGGGTAGGGTGTATGCACCATCGGTTCTGTAGTTCGGTGACTGATTCCGTACTAGCATGACAGTTTTTGTTTGGCGCCACAACGGATTCCAATAGCTGAATGCTAGTGACTTGTTACTCAAGGAGCATCCCCGACTGAGGTGTGGTATTTTTTATTCAGCAGTAAGGCAGCTGTGGTAATTCTCATTAATAACTAGGGCACTTGTGGTATTTCTTATTAAAACATAGAGCAGCTGTGGTATTTTGTATTCCAAAGTACAGCAGCCATGATATTTCTTACTAAGAAATTGAGGAGCCGTGGTATTTCCTATTCAGAAATACCACAGCTGCGCAGGAACATCCTTTATGGAGTGTTCAGAGCCTGAAGCTCTAACAGCGATACTCCCACACAGCTGTAGTATTTAGAGAGCAACTGTGATATTTCTTTGCAAGAAAAGGCCATGAACACCTCTCTCAGCCAGCCCAGAACCGCTTATGTTGACATCGCACGAATTAGTTTTGGCAACGCGCTACAGACCCATTCGGGGCGTACGCTGCGGACAGGCAAGCTCTACAAAATCTGCTTCAATTAATGCGTATGCCAAACCCTCGATCCTTCTTGCATTCTACGAGGAGAGTCTCCTTCTTCATGATTATCACCTGGCAATACCGCAGCCATCTGGTACTTACCGTTACTTACAGTTTATGTATGTATACAGCCGCAGAAACACATAATGGAGAGAATCGAATAGAAAAGAACGTGGAATATGACATGGAAACTGCGATCAAACAGGGGTTTATGGGGACTAGGCTTTCCAGAAATTGGGGGCCGGTTGTTGGGAGTCCCTATAGTAAGGATGCTGATCTATTGGGTTGGGGTATAGGGTTTAGGGTTTAGGGTTTGCGGGTTTAGAGTTTAGGGATATAATGGGCCCCCACATCTATGGAAACTTCCTTAGAGCAGACCCCGGGAATCTCCTCCTAGTATTTTTATGAGCTATAGTCTAAACTCCTTAACGGAGACTTATAAAGGGTATTACATAGAGTTATATAGGGGATTCTATAGGATTATATAGGGGGTCTAAACTCCTTAAAGGGCAGTTATATAGGGGATTATATAGGAGAGTATGATATTGGTTACTAAGGGGGGGATATGAGGAGTTTAGATGAAAGATCATATATCCCTAGGGTCCGCTGGGGCGTCTTATTTTGGCAATTCGCAGATGGCGAGGTTACATCCTGAACGCAAAGCCCCAAACCCTAGACCCTGAACACAAATTAGGAACCCCAAATCCTGACTGACAATCCTAAACCCAAAGCCCCAAAGCATCCCCCGAAACCCTAACCCTAAACCCAAAACCCAAAACCCTCCCTCAACCCTAAACCCCTAACTGTCTCAGGGGATGAGGCAGGCTGAGCTGACTCTGCCCAAAGGGCATTGAATACCAGAGCTGCAAATCTTTTGGGACCCTCCCCTTGGCACGGTTTATAGTCCCCCTTAAGTAGATAGAATATGGGGTATATTCTTAGGGTTATATTGGGATAATGGAAAAGAAAATGGAAACTACTATTTAGGGCTTAGGGTTCAGGGTTTAGCTTTTATGTTGATAGAAGACATGAAGGCTATGTAGGGGCATGTAGGCATATGCGCAGATAGGTTAGGTTCAGCTTCTGAAGCCCTTTTGGGGATGGACATGCCCATATTTGGACACAACAAGACAGAACTATGTTTGCATAGATAGATGGGGATACACCAGGCTTCGATTTAAATGTTATGTTTAAGAGCGCAGGGTTCGCTATTCAGATGACAACCGCAGTTGGCAGATGTCGAGCTGAGCATAATCTCAGAAGGGAATGCGAAGCCTGTAGAGTGTGCCGCGCTTGCTTCCGCAGCTGCTCAAATCGAAAGCAGGCTAGCTACTAGTAAAGGATCTAGTACATGTACTGGACGTAGCTACATATCACTGCTGTAGCCGTGCTGAGGCAAGGATGCCAAGCCCCAGCGCTGCAATGCCATGTTTGGCATTGTAGTCTTCCGGATTCAGTCCGGCACAGACCCACGCAGCCATCAAGGCTTGACTCGCAAGGAGAGTCGACCTCCTGCAGCTGGCGGACATGCTGCATGCTGAGCAGCCTAACAAACCAAGATGTGCCAAACTAGAGGTCCAAAGGCTTTCTCCATTGCTACAGCTTCAGCAAGACGGCCAGCGGAGGAGTGCTTGGCCTGCCAACGTTGCAGGCCTCAAATTCGCCTTAGCTCCTCTTGTGCGGACCTTTTTGCATCGACAAAAAGGCTTTCCGGGTGTGCGAGGAACGTTGGAATTCAGGTTCAAACCCAATAACTCTACCCCCCAAGAATGGAGAATCAAATGGAAAATAACATTGAAAATAAAATGGAAACTGGGGGTATATAGGGGAATTACTTACCTTTGGTTAGCTGGGAATGAAGGAATAGAAAAGAAAATGGAAACCATTCTAATGGGTTGTATAGGGACTACTATAAGAACCCATTCCTTTATTCCTAGCTAACCAAAGGTAAGTCTTTGCTGCCAAGGCCGTGGCGCTAACGCCCCGAGAGGCGACGCGCCTGCAAAGATATTTGAGCTATAGTTTAAACTGCTTAAAAGGGGGTTATATAGGGGATTATATAGGGTCCCTATTATAGGGGTTATTAAGGGGGATACTAGGAGTTTAGACTATAGCTCATTTAGTTGGAGCACGGCTTGAGCACCTGGAAGCGCTGGAGTCAACTTGGAGGGAACTTGCTGGGCTTTGCACCTAAACCTTAAACAGTAGTTTCCATTTCTCTTCCATTATCCCGAGAGGATCCCAATATTATCCCTATATACCCCTAGATATTATGGTTACTCGAAGTTCTTCGTCCTAACCATTTCAGCAGCTTGGAGGATCCTTGCCATCTGAACGCTGAGCCTTCATGCGCAAACCAACCATTTAGCCCTGCCATGTTGGGTCCAGAAGCTGCATTTTTTCTTGCGTTGCGAGAGTCATGAGATTTTGCTAGGATCTGCTGCTCCAGCGGTGCTTCCTGAAGGTCAAGGCCGAGAATGATGTGGGAGTTGCTGACTCGCGGTCTCGCGGTGTGGGCAAGGCCTACTCCTGACAGGCAACGCCACAGCTGCAGAGACCCAAGCTCCGGCAGTTGCCAAGCGGAGCAGCGGTGTGGATCTTAGCTCTTGAGGGAGGCTCTTTGCTGCATTGACCCTGGAGCTTGGGCTCAGGGGTTTCGGGTTGTGGATGCTGTAGGCTTGGGCTCCGGCATGCGCAGGGGCAGGGAGAGGTTCGACGGTTGGCAGTGTAGTTCTTAAAGAACAATTTACCGCAGTTGTTAGCCTGCAATGGTGTGTCATGAGAATGTAAACCCGGGCCAAGGTCTTCCGCAGAATTCGCCGACAGCAGAGGCAAAGTGTAAAGTGCTTTACCTTGTGCTGAGTGCGCAGCAAAGTTGGCTGCACATCGTAGCTCCGTACGCCTCTGTGAAGCATCGGTGCAAAGAAGACCAAGCACTAAGCCGGAGATAGGTTCTCCTCATAGGAAGTCTGGTGCATGAGGACCTGCAACGTGGACTGAGCAGTGGCATCACCTGCGTGCTGCCCGTGGAGGCACGGCACGATTCTCTTGTTTGAAAGTATTTGTCAGTCATTTTGCAGAAGCCACGATGCGAGAAGGAGCAACACAGGGTTTACGTGGGCACCGTGGAGGGCCGCGCTGGCCGCCCAGCTGATGGCCAAAGCGAGGATACGATTCCAATTGAGGACAAGGACCAGGCCATATTCATCGCAGTGACTTAATCATGCAAGCACGAAACGACAGAGCTATGAGCAACCCCAGAGAGCATGTTAACGGCTTGTGTGCAGGGGCCTTGCCAGATATTTGGATCAATTTTCGGAGGCAGGAATTTGAAGAGTCGCTGCTACTGCTGTAGCACGTTGTTGAGGTCATCATCTTCAGCACGGAGAACGAATTCTCAGTGCCTTGACAACGCGTTAGAGGTTGTAACAGTTGTTGGTTTGCCAAGTTCTCAATCTTGTCAAGCGCCGGTGGGTCCTTGACATCTTTCTTGCTAAAGTGAGAGTACGAGATGGTTTGAATCAGTCCGATTTCCTGGGTCTTGCCGCTGCAGCGTGCGGTGGTCCGCTGCAGGTGTTGCGGTGGGTCCACCTCGAGGATGCAAGCCCGGTGACCTGCATCGATGTGGCTCCTTGGGCAGAAGGCTTGCCTGCTCGCTGAGGGCTCTGCATGCATGGCAGTCTTCCTCGATTAGTTGAGAAGCGTTGAGAAGCTGAGAATGCAATTGTTGCAGGCGTAGAAGTACCCGATGGAGAGGAGCCAGGTCTCATGGCCGTGGGCACGCAGGCGCAGCATACACAGCATGCGCAGCCGTCTTGAAGTGATTGAGTTGGCCTGGGCGTGTTTTTGCAGGAGTCCATGGGATCATTTACCGTTGTATTGAAGTTATAGGCCCTGTTCCCGTGGTGTAGCTTCCAGAGGATGCCAGGAGGCATGTCACTCCCGGATTGGCAAGTCCGAGTCTTCATCTTCGCTTTGCTCCAGCCATGGGCAGAACTTCAACGACCCTCGCAGCACGGGCTCAGACAGCACAATCCTATGTTGATAGCCCACTTTGCTGTGGAGACCCTTTTAAGGATATAGTCCCTCTCAAGTAGGTAGAATATGGGGTATATGGGGATCATATTGTAATATACCCAAAGCCATATTCCATTTACTTTAGGGGGACTATAACTTGCTGTCCGATAGTCGGGAATGAAGGAATGGAAAAGAACACGTAGACCACTGTAGTTTTGGCACTTACATAGGAACCACATGGGCTTCCTTTCCACCAGCTTTGCTGTTTCTAATCTGATCCTTGTTGTGGAGCTCCCCTAAAGGCCCCTACCCTTTGAGAACCCCCACATGGAAGGGAAGAGGGAGAGGCATTTGCAAGGAACGGGTGATTTGTGAGCAGTCCTTTTCCGGATGCCGATGGGGCGTGCAGGGAAGGAAACGGTAGCGGAGCGGACGGGAGGGCCCTGTGGAGGGCTCTCAAACCCTGCCAGAAGTGTTAGGGAAAGTTTATGATACATTCCCACCGCATTCCACATTCCCTACTAACACTAGCATGTACCCTATTACAACATAATAGTTTCCATTTTCTTTTCCATATCTTCCCATTCTCCCATTTTCAATGGAAACAGCAACCTCGAGTCGTCCCAGCCCTTGTTGCAGGACGGTGTGGCGCACATCTATAGCCTTGCCAATCTTCGCCTCGCCGGAACGGTGAACATCCCCAGGGCCTTGCCAGAAGGTGCCGATGCCCAAAGCGTTGCTTTGAGATTCAGCAAGGGCCGGACACTTGTCTTTGGAGGCTGTTTGATGGAGGGTTCCTGTCTGGGTTCCCAACTGAGCAAAAAGCCTGCCTCAAACTACATTTTGGACGTGCAGATGTCCATGCTATGCATGTTCAAAGGGATGGAGTTTCATGCGCATGCAATGTTGAGTTCTAGCAGGTTGCTGCACTAAATTGGAAGGTAGCCGCTTTCCGAGTTTGAATTCCTGTTAGACCTCTTAACACGTTCTCACAGATGATATAAAAGAGGAGCACATGTCTCTCGGTTTCAGCCAGCAAGGACGTGCTTGTAGTTAGCGGCCAGGAGATTCGCAGCATGGATCTTCCCTTCGACATATGAGGTGCCTGGCAGCAGTTCGATTCTGCTGTGGAAGGGGGTGTTGGGATTTGGGGGTTTCCCAAAAATAGGGGTGGCCTTTTTTGGGGTCCCCATAATGAGGACTAGAGGTCCCCCTGTTTAGGGAAACTTTCATATAGCCCCAGTTTCCATTTCATTTTCCATGCTCTTTTCCATTTGATTCCCCATTCTTGGGGTAATAACCCTACCTGAACCCCAAAAGTATGTAGAACAATGGCCTTGTGGGCGATATTTAGGGTTTTTGGGGCTATTATTTTACTTACTTTGGGGGTCCAGGTAAACCCTATGTAAGCCCTATAGCCCTATTTTGGGAAATCACCCTAAACCCTAAACCCTAAACCATGTGGCTGCTGAACCAAGGATGATCCGAATTGCCACAGAGCCTCTGCTTCCTGTCACGTCTGCTTCCTCAGCTGGTTAAGGGTTTAGGGTTTAGGCTTTGGGGTTTAGGGTTTAGGGTTTAGGGTTAATGCAAAAGAGTCTGCACTTGAGAAGGCGTTACAAGCACCCTAACCCTAAACTTAGGCCCTCAACCCTGAACCCTAAATAATCCCAAATAGTAGTTTCCATTTTGTTTTCCATTATCCCAATATAAAACCCAATATAACCCAAACATCACCACAATAGGTACCGAAGCAGGAAGCAGAAGATTTGAGGGAAGACAGCTGTCTTTCTTGCAGTAAATCATTCATAAGAATCTTTAGAATTTTGCTGATGCATGTGCCCCTCAAAACTTTCGCGAAACGGCCTTCTTCCTATTTGCGGGTTTCCCAAAATCAGGGGCACCTTTTTGGGGTCCCCATAACAAGGATTACACCATTTTTGGGTCTCTATTGGGGTCCCCCGATTTTTGGAAACTATCCCTAAACCCTAAACCCTAAACCCTAAACCCTAAACCCTAAAAAAAAACACCTAAACCCTCTAGGCTGTTGACCATCGACAGCCAGTCCAGACTCCGCCTCTGGGGTCTCAAAGTCCACGCCAACAGCTCAGTGGCCTAAGCAAAAACCAACCCCCTCCCCAAAGGGCCCATGTGAGCTATAGTCTAAACTCATAAAGGGGGGTTATGTAGGGATTATATAGGGAAGTACTATAGGGGATATTAAGGCGGATGCTAGGAGTTTAGATTATGGCTCATGTACTCCCATACCGGCCATTCTTTTGGGGTTTTGGGAGGTCTAGGCATATCTAGGCATACTTGAAGGACCTCCTGAGATGGTTTTCTGAATCCGACTCTTTGTATCCGCTTGTGTAACCGGAGCAAGTGAGTAGTGTTTTAGTTGGGGATGCTATAGACACCAATATGCCAATCACTGACCCGTTCAGTGTGTTTTGTTTGTCTATCTAAACCTCAAACTTAAACCCTGGTCTCACACAATCCCTGCATAATCCCGTGCAATCCTCACCAATCCCAGGGTCTCAGGGGCCCCCGTAGGTGTTGTATCTGTGGCAAGCGTTCGTCTTCTTGCAAATGACTGGGTTGGTTTTAAGGAACTTGACTTGAGTTACTAAGATAAGGACCCCCTTTTTTCACTATTGTATATCCATCACATAGTAACTTAAACCCCAAACCCTAAACCCTACATACCCGTAGTATAGTAAGTTAATCTAAGTTCCTTAACAGCAACCCCGATGAGGTTCAAGGGGGTCGCTTGCAACATCTCAAGCTCTTGCAAGACACTCAGACTCGGCTATGGTTTGGGGTTTAGGGTAAAGCTTGAAGCAGCTATGGGGGTCTCCCCAAATTAGGGATACCATTTTGGGGGGTCCCCATAATCAGCGTAATAGTATGTAGGTGTATATAAGGGGGGAACCCTATTTTGGGAAACTACCATATACTGGTAGCAAAAGTAGTAAGAAGCCATAGTAGGAGTGCTAGCAATAGTGATTATGACTTGTTTTGTTACCGGTTCTCGTGGGCTTTACCGAACCAATGGAGATGGGCTGGATTGATTGGATCGCCTGCAGCGCCTCCTACTGGCAATCAAAATTCAGACAGCCGAATTGATTTGGCATGGGGACCCTGAGGGCTTGGGGTTTAGTGGTTAGGGTACTGGTATCTACAGAGCTGAAGAGCTATGCTTTTCGGGTAGGCCATTGCAACCAGAGATGCTGACTTCAAAGCTGAAGCGTTTGACAGGCTCGACGCTGGCCAGCTTCATGAGAATGCCTGCGTTCCCGCGGAGTGGTACAGCCAAACTCTGAGCCTGCATTCGGCTTGGTTGTAATAATTTCAATACGAACAATAGTAGTAAGAATAGTCATAATGGTCAGAAGAACAATAGTAGTAATATTAGTAATAACAGTAGCAATCGTAGTAATAGTACTAACACTAATTTTAGCAATAAGAAAGATGCGCCCACAGCTGATCATGATTCTGACACAGCTCCGGTTGCCTGGCTGAGATCGCCTCAAGCAGAAACGCGAGCACGAGGTGCATAGTGATCTCACAGCCCCTGCGCTGATTGATGGCCAAACATAATGCTGCATCTGGCTTCACCAAGTGTAGAGCACTGGAAACCGCGAACTCTGAACCCTAAACCCTAAACCCTAAACCCTAAACCCTAAGCCCCAAAAACCCTAAACCCAAAAACCCTAAACCCTAAACCGTGTGGGCGTCTTAAGCGAGGAGGGTCTCACTGGAGCAGGCCAAGCTGAGGAAGAAGAAGCGCGAGGAGGAACTGAAAGCCGCCAAGGCCAAGCATATTGACCCCTGGCTACCCCTGACAGAGGGGGATCAGGTTTAGGGTTTAGGGTTTAGGGGGTGAGGCTGTGATATAACCCTCTATGACCCTATATAGACCTATATAACCCTATATCACGCCCATATAACACCCAAATAATATACTACATAAGCCCCATTGTGAGAGCTCCGGCTTGTCAAGCCTTCTGAGCTGATCTGCCTCAGAGCTTGTATCTGAGCTCTGGGGCAAACCTAGACGTACTTTAGGGTTTAGGGTGTACGTTTTAGGGATTGGAATGTAGGGTTTAGGGTTTGCAAGGGAAAAAGGTAACATGATTTTTTCATAGTCCCCCATTCAATCCCAATATATCCCTATATAATCCCTACATAATGTATTCCCTTTTCCCTACCTACCCCCAGTAAGTAGAGGAGAGAAGAGCTGAGGTTAGATGCCATGTAGAGAACAAGCCAAGTAACAACATGGACTTGCGGGGTGGGTTAGGAGGGAATAAGGGAATCTATACATATATATATATATATCTTGATTGTATAGGGCTTATATTCCCTCATTCCCTACTAAGCCCCTTCAGGAGGAACTATCCTACAGTCTCTGGTTTTGCATTTTGTAGATACCCTATTACCAGTGCTTCATGATCTACCTACCTCATTTGCATGTGAAGCACTGAAGGCCAGGGCGGGCAAGGATGAGGCAGTGGAGCAGCCCGAGGTGCCAGTTGGGTGGTAACTTGAATAGGGATACTGTAGTTCTCAATGTATACTGAGGTTAGTATTAGTGATATTACTACTACTTTTCATTTTTGTGGGCACAGTTTTTGCAGGAAAAATAGAATCTTAGCTGGCTCAACCACAAAGAACAGTTTACAACTGTGGCGAGATCCGCAGCCACCGTGATGTCCGGTTCGTGTGTTCAGGCAGCAGAGGGGCAGACCACGGAGGGCCAAAGCCTGGACGAAGGCATGGCCCAAGCGCAAACTTTGGGTGGAAGGGACTAGTGCAGCAATCCTCACCCTCCCTGCGGCACAGAAATAAAAAGTCCTAGAGGAGCCTTCGTTGTGCTATTTGCTTTTGTTACTCCTGCTCCTGCGAGGCTCACAAGGAGAAGGCGAAAACCTGGTCGCAACCCTGAATGACTCGAGTGCCGGTGAGTTACCACTGTTGCCTTTGCTGTCAGCCCGAGCCCATCCTCTGAGGCCGCAGAAGCTCGCTGGACAAGCACAGAACCGGTCAGCCATGCCGGCGTGCCTTTGCGGCTTCAACTTTTGGAACAGAAGGGCCAAAATTCAGCGGATTTACGTGAAGAGAGATAGCGGGTTCCACAAGGCACTCCGTGGTTTCAAACCCTTTTTCGCAAGTCGTCCCGCTAACTTGCCAGGAATTTCTGCATTCGCTGCCCTTCCGGTCGGCTCCAGCCCAAGGATGCAAAGAGAGGTTCCAGCATTCACACAGTGTGCAAGAAGCTTCCAAGCTATCTTAAGGTCCCGTGCAGCTTCCGATTGACTGCTTGGACAACCAGCCCTTCGAAGGCATTCGTCTGAAGCCAGAAGCTGCAAAGATGCTCCACGCTAAAAGCAGCTTCAGTATGTTCCTTTAACGGGTGCCAGACATTTTAAATCTGCGGTTGAAATGGTGCTTGCAGGACCAACAACATCCGCCACCACCGTCAAGGACTCGTATCTTGGCAAGGAAGTTTCTACCCTGAAGATGTGTGCGCTGATTGAGCAGCCACCCTGTGGTGGTCAGTCTTTCAGGCTTTTCCACGGTTGGACACACTTCCTAGATCTGAACAGATGTTGCGACACAGTTCTGGCAGCTAGCAGCTAGCCTTTGCATAGCCGAGGAAGAACACACCCTTCTTTCAGGCCAAGGCAGACAAGGTGCGGGTTGACGGAACTTGCAGGCTCCAGAGCTCTGGATGTTGATTGGCACCAGGCGTCGGAGAAGGAGCCACCTTCGCTGTTCATCACCCAGCCACAGACAGGCTCGAAGCGGGCAACCCTCGCAAGGGTGTGAAGAACTAACCCGAGATGGTGCTGCTTGTTGCGCTCCGCTTATGCAGGCTCTGCAGCCCGCATTCTTGGCAAGGCGACCTCGGCGCAGTGGCAAAGTTAAAGAGCATGCTCTTTGTTCCCTCCTGTCTTCGTGATGGTGTGTAAGCTTAGATCTTGTGAAATCAACCCTATTTTTCACACTTTCCTGACTGCCGGGTAGTGTTTCTCATGTCTTTGTGATATGTCATGCAACAGCATCAGTCAATTAGTGCTGCCCCCGAGCCAGAAGCATATACACGGTAAGTCTTTGCAAGTTCGGTAAGCTTTGTGGACAAGAAGCCCAAGCAAGAAAACGATTGCCTGTGGAAAGTGGCGGATTGCACGTGTTGATGTGGAGGCTCCTGCACAGCAGCGGCCTTTGCAAAACCCTTTTCGCGGGATGAGCGGTGTCAGCAAAGTCTACGTCTCGGCAAGTTGGCTCTCCTCAAAGACGCCTTCTTACCGGGAGAACTCTTTAGCTCCCTGAACCAGTCCGTACAACCCAGATTCGGCACTACTGAGCGCAACAGCCTGCTGCAAACGGCTTCAAGCCTTTAAGCGGAAAGAACCAAGCCTGATACTTATCTGGTCATTCTTCGCACTTCCCCAAGAGGCATCGACACGCGCGTGAGTGCAAACGCATTGCCCAGCTGCTGCTAGAACTTATTTCCCCCGCCACGCTGGTACGAGAATTTGTTGAAGCGTTGTCTGGGCTTGGCGGCAGCAAGCTACCGTTGACGACACATTTGGAGAAGCCGAAATGCTCTTTTTTCAGCGATTGTCCTGCTGCAGGCCATCTTGGCAGAATCTGCCAGGATTGCCTATCGCAGGACATGCAAATCTCAATCAATGGAGAAAGAGCTCTTCGGCATCAGACTGTACAAGACGAAACATTTAAACACTGAGGAGGCAACGCGAGTGAGAGAAGTGAGAATGTACTGTACCTTTTTCTCTAGACACGGCGAGTGTGGCGGGCCGTCAAAGGTGACGTGTTGAACAGTACTGTTGATTGTCTGGATGCGCGGCAAACCGATTACGCCAAGTTTGTTGAAATTCTTCTGTTTCAGTTGAGGGTTTGTTTTTGTAAGGCTTGTGCACTAGACCTCTGCACAGTTCCATCGGCAACAACCGAAAAAGCCAACCAAGAACTGGTGGCCAAAAGGGGCAACATCCAGTGTTTCAATGCACAGGACGTTTCCTGCACGACTTGCGGACATCTTCTGCTCTTATTTCCTTTGCAAGTTCTTGGAATGCAACAAGACCATCCAGCAGCATAAATTGCAGCAGAAGAACCGCGGCTTTGAAACCTTCGACATTGTGGAATAAAATGTGCCAGGCTGACGATGAGCCACCTGCGGAGGAGTTTTCTGGCAGCGACTCTGATGGGGACGCCTGGGCCTGCGTACTCTGTTTTTTTTTGGTCATGTGAGGGTGTTGTCGGTACGAGAGGCTCATCTTGTAGTGGGAGGGAGTTGGACCGCGCTGAGCAAGCAGTGAGCCCTCTGTTTGGGTTGACTCCTTTAGATCCCAATCGCTCCGATTTGCTCCAGGGCTTGGCTCGCAAACACTACGTACCATGCTTCGGGTTTTGCGTGGGCCTTCAATGCTTGCGTGCTGTATCGGAGCTTGTTGGCTCTTCTTGGGTGCTCTGGGACTGGTTGTAGGTTTCTGAAGCTTATGCTCTTGAAGGTTTTGTTGGGATGTCATGCGTAGCCCGCTCATAGTAAGCAAGCCTCCAGCACTGAACTTATTCCAGGCTTGCATTGCAGTGTTTTCCGAGCTCACCATACAGGCCATAGAGAAATGCTTTCAAGCCCAGAACCTCAAGCGCGAGGGCTCCTACCCCAGAACAGCTGTGAACTGATTGGGCTTTGAACAAACTTTGAAGTCCTCCTGCCCTGGGCAGATAAGGCCGATGACATTGTTGCACAGCGCTTTGCTGAGATGCCGAGGTGGGTCCATTAAGCAGGGTGGAGAACGGGCAGAGCCAACACCAGCACCCACGGTCACCGCCACCGCCAACGCCACCGCCGCCGATAGCACCGGCACTTGCACCAGCACTTGCACCAGCACTTGCACCAGCAGCACCAGCAGCAGCAGCACCACCACCGCCACCACCACCATCACCATCACCACCACCACCGCCACCACCATCACCGTCACCACCATCACCGCCACCATTACTACGATTACACCACAGCAGCGACAATGACTGCTATTGCTGCTGCTGCTACTACTGCTGCTGCTACCACTGCTACTACTACTACTACTACTACTACTACGACATACTAACTTGAGAAATCCTTTGGATTCTCCATCTCCTTTCGGATTCTCTATCCAAGCGCGAGGCTCCCAGCATCGGCACCAAACGCGTTGATGGTGGGTGACTCGGTGCTGCCGACAGAATTGACCCAGGTCCAGGGAATGACCGGGGTCGCAAATTTTCCGACACGGTTTAGGGTTTAGGGTTTGGGGTTTGGGGTTTAGGGTTTAGGGATGAAATCCTTCATGGGGATCTCCAGAAATCGAAACCCTGAACCCTAAACTGCTCATAATCACCATACCATGGGTTCCTAATTAGGATACGCGTACAGGGCAAACAAAAAAAAAACGAAGCTGGCCGAAAGTCGCTCAGATTTCAAGACATGAATTCTTGACAGCTGCTATTAATCCCTATTAATGGGGGGCTTAAGGGGGGGCTTAAGGGGGGGGCCTTAAGGGGAGGGTATTAATGCCTAAGTCTCAGAAACCTCCCAACATTTTTATTGTTATGTTCCTGCCAGGCAGCAGCTGAGTCGCTGCGAGCAGCAAAGGAAGCAGCCCAGATCCCAGGGCCCTCATAGGGTCAGGAAGATTGAGTAAGTAGGGTGCAGAGCGTAGGATATGGGATTTCTGATTTAGGGTTTACGGTTTAGGATTTAAGATTTCGGGTTTAGGGTTTAGGATATAGGGTTTTGGAGTTAGGTTTTAGGGTAAGTTGTAAGCGGGTTTATAAGTCCCCTAGTTGGGGTTGGCCTCCCCATGTATAATTCTACTTACAAGGTCCCCAGCGCCTTGAAGCTTGAAGTTCCCTTAGCCAGGGGTCTCTTTCACGGGGATATAGGTTACGGATTTTTTGGGGCCCCTAAAACCCTAAACCGCATAGGTGTTATGGTTTAGGGTTTCCAAGAACTGGGGGTCCCTTTTCGTGGTTTCCCAGAATAAGCCCAGAATAAGGAGGATGATAGTGCTGTGAGGGTCTACGTGGGGTATCCATAAATTTTGCGAACTCGCTTGTTGCTTTTATGGTTGTTATTCCTATCTCTCAATCTCGAAACTATCAGTCCTCTTGGTACTGTGTTGAAACATTTTATATCAGGGAGACTGGGTTGGGAGTGGGCAGTAGTCCTCAGGATTCCATTTGTGCGGTGAGGTCCCTTTGCATATGCGAAGAGGTTTGAAGGGCGTGTGCTCTTTGCTTGTCGCATGTAGAGGTCTGAAGGGCTACAGAGCTTGGATATTCTCTCCACTTCGTGTGATGCCCAGATAGTCGAAGAAGCCGGGGGCTCTATCGGAGATGGCGAATCCTTGGCCGGATGCCTGGAAATGTGGCAGTCCCGCACGCGAGCGTGTAGGTTTGACACCTTGGAGAACATCTCTTACTGTATGTTGCGGTGCATGGTCAGTTGGAGCATTTTGGAGCTTCGCACCATTTGCTTCAGGTTTTCATTGCAGACTCTGGCGGCTGGTTATGGTGCCTGGACATAGAACTTGCCTCAGTCATGGCATGACTGTCACAGCTCATGCAAGAATGCGCCCGACAGCCTGTCTCCAAGCAAGGAGCCGAGGCTATGTTCATGAAGCACAGACCAACTGCGTGACGCTGCCCAGGCATCAACCCTCGCTGCTGCGGCAGCGGCGTCGCCGCCAGTGGCCTGGTGCCCAAGAAGCTTCAGCCAGGAGATTCTTCATCTCCTGGCAAGTGCAGGGTCGGTAAACAGCAGTTCGCAAAAATCGAGCGACCTTGTGGAGATCATGGAGACAACAGCAGCCGATAGCAGTTGCAAGCCCGGAGGCCGTGGCTTTGGACGTTGCCATGGTGGCCAAGGCCTTGCCCATGACATGCAATGCTGCACGAATTTTGCGGGGTCTCCTGAGCAGGAAAGGATAGAGGTACGCTTGGGAAGTACAAGTAGCACACGGAAGCGTTTGCAGACATAA